ACTGACTATGGACACTTTTTTCACTACAATGGCACAATTGAGTAGCTGTAACAGAAACTGTATGTCCCCATAAAGCTGAAAGTATTTACAATCTGGACCTTTACAGATAAAGTTTGCAAACTCCTCGTCTCCACCACTCTTTGCCTGCCGGTTGCTTACATCAAATCTAGGAAGAATTAGATAACCTCAGAAAATCAAGCCTTACAAAGAGAAAGCTGCAACTTTGTGGCAGACGTGACACCCACCAGTAGTTAAGGCGGTGACACTGTGGCAGAGAACACAAGCATCGCCTGTCCCCAGCCACCAGCCTCTCCACAGGGAGGAGAGCTACTCCAGCATCTGCGGAATGCAGAGTTCTGTGCGTCCTGGGCTTTCCCTGGGGCCAGGAAGGTGCTCCCTGGGGGCCTCTTCCACACTGGCCCGAGGCCATTAGCCACCGCACACCACCTTCTGCTCAGACCACTTGTAAGGAAGAGTCAAGCCAACGTGGTCCGTTGGCAGTAGGAAGGTGTGTTCTGCCATTATTGTGGTACCTGAGGCATCAGACTAGAAAAACATGGCTCATGGTTGGGGTCCCTTAGAAGGACAGTTCAGATCACAGAGAAGGTGTTCTGCCACCATTCACATAAGATCAAAGATGAACTGGAAAGTTAGGAAGATATTTGGCCATGTCTGTATGTGTTGCATGGAACCTACTATTTTAGAGTCATTTGTATCAATATTCTCGGCCTAAGACATCAGTTAAACATAAAGCAAACACCAGTGAGTTTGGTAAAAAGGATCGACATTTCATTCATCAATGGGTTGCTGGGCAATGAGACCGTCAGGGGACTGGAAAAAACGAATCAGCTGAAGGACTTGATTTAGTGATGCCATACCCAGGCTATAACTCCTGAGAAGCTGTTCTTTCTGCATTCACATAAACAAAACCACAGGAAATTCACTCGAGTGGGGAAGCACATTGGAATGGTTCTTGATCACATCCCTCAAATGTTAGCAATAGAGTGGTTTGGTATTTATTGACAAAATCCATCATTTATTAGATAGTAGATCTACAACATGAGATCATCTTTTTGCTGTATACATTCTTTTTAACTTTAATTTTACTGTATGAATTGAAATGTTCAGGACTAAGTCGTCACCTAGTCTCAGGATGCCACAAGTTAAGATTGTCCTTGACAGAATGACAACCTGATAGAGCTCAAAAACATGAAAAGTGGAAACTGTGGGCCTTCCTTGATACAGGCAGTGAGGACACTTCTCCATCGGCACAGGGGCCTAGTCGTCTGAACCCAGGGGAATACAGCAGAGCTGGAGAAAGCTGGAGTCTCGGGTATAAACAGCACGGGAAGGAGCCCCATTTCTCAGGCTCTGCCAGTGCAGGGGTGGGCTTGGCTCCGGGGAGAAGCCGTCTGCTGTTCGCTCCTGATGATGGGACTGCACGAGCAGGCCAACGCCCGGCCTCACTGATGGCATCAGTGGTGCTGGCACCACCACCCCCTACTGATGCAGCGGGGCTCTGCGGCTCGCGCCCTGACAGTGCCTGGGGCAGGGGCGGGAGGGGAAGGGTCTGGCTGCGTGGAGTCATTCGAAAGAGCCGTAGATGAAAGGGCAGCGGGAACAAAGAGCTACTGACAGCAATCCCTTCCTTACATGCCCTTCACCCTGTGTGGCAGCAACATTTCACTTTATCACTTTCTCCTCTGACCTGGCAAAATACATCAGCTTCCAGTCCTTAGGACTTACGTTCTCCGGCGAAAAATATAAGAGGCCGAATACCCCAGGGGACTCCCGGCCCAGGTGACGGGCAGGTGGGACGGTCGCCCGACAGCCCCGTTACTGGTCTCCCCTCCGCGAGCGGTGCCCATTACAGGTGTGCGCCTTCCGTGCCCGCCTCGCCGCCCGCGCCCCTCGTGCTCCAGGCAGACACGGCTCCCTGGGCGACTCCCGCTGCCCAGAGGCCGGCCGTTCATGCTCCGCGGGCCGCAGAGATGGAGCTGTGCTACCGCAGGAGGAGGAGGAAGATGGCTGTCCCTGATGCCACGGAAGGGCAGTGAGCAGCTGACAGAGACCCCCGCAAAGACCGGTTATTTCTCGGAGCGACGCCCTCACCGACACGTTGACAGCACCCTTCTCTGGGTGCGCAATTTCTGTCATTCTCCAAGTGCTTGGGTGCTGATTGACATCTACATGGAGCAAACAGCTTTTTCTGTCTCCCCGTGGCAACCGCAGCCCACGCATGTACACACAAGGACTCTGATTTGTTCTAGCGTGTGAGCCACGCATCTGCCGTAGGAGGCAGGAAGACAGCTTTGAGTTGGAAAATGAGGGATGTGGGGCATCAACATACTCCATCCACACAATAAGGCTTTAAGAGTAGGGAAGGGGAGACATGCATCTTCTGTGTCTGGGCTCCATGAACAGGACCCCCTGCAACTGTCAATAAACGTTGGCCCCACCCTGTCCCCGAGTGTTTCAGCCCCTTGTTTAAATTTTCTGGACAAGCAAGTAAAGATTGAGCTGAAAAGCGGGCCATTGGTTGGTTTCATTATCATCTTGACTATAATAGATGTCTCACGGGGCCAAGTTTCTGAATGAGAGACTAGATAAGAACTTTGCCAGATCTGGAAAAACTGAGTCCTGGTTGTCACAGAAAATGCCGTTGAGCAGAGGGGTTTGGGAAGCTCAGCTCTCGACCTCTGCAGGTCAGTGGCTCCGTCTCCAGGAGTAGCGGGGGTCAGGCTGCGGGCTGGCTGCCTCAGGAGACCCACCTCTGTCCCTGGGGATGCAGGACTGTCCCCAGAGAGGCCGTTCTGGGAGTGCAGCCGCTGCTCAGGATTGCACCACAGGATCTTTGGGGCGACGTTTACTACAGGCCGACTCAGTTCAAGAAACGTGTGTTGGGCATCTGCTATGGTCTAGGAATGGGGAAGGATTAAAACAATAAATATGTTCTCAAGGGGTACAGAGGGAGGGCATGTCCCCACATTCTCAACATGCTCCCTGCTGAGCAAGTGACACCTGTTACACCTCCAGGGTACGTGTCCACTAAGCAGGGGACAGCAGGGAGCATAACAATGCCAGCCACGAGGAGCTGCCCTCCCAGATACCAGCTCACTGCATGGCTTGCCATTGTCAGGGTCACCAAGAAAGACATGAGTCACACAGGCCCTGGAACTTCACTCACGCAGAGAAGAGACAGACATAGTAAGCACGCACCCCCATGGCCAGGGGTCTCATCCCACAGCCAGTGCAGGGAGACGGTCTGTGAACTGCTGCAGTATCCTTCCAATAAACGCCATTTGGGGTTTAAACTAGTTTGCACTGGGCTTCTTTCCTTCCTTTCAAACAAAAATCCTTTATAAAAGTACATCTTCTAATTCTGAACTGGGAGTTAGGACATTCAAATTCTAACTCTCCTGTGTGCTTCCTGACTTACACGTCGCCCAGCCTCTCTGACAAGGTCTATCTCCTGAGCGGAAGTCCTCACGTTTCTTACAGATCTGTAATTCCATCGCAGGGAAGCCTGACCTACATATTCAGCCAAGAAATTCTGACATCTAAGATGGGCTGCTGGGAGGCCTATTTGCATAAGGACATAAAGTAGACTCTCCGAGAAATTATCGAGAGGCCCTCAAGACAGATGAGGCCTTAAGCCACCTCATTAAGACTGTAAAGCAGAGGGACAACATTGTCTGCTTCCAAGAGGGCCCAGGAGAGGGAAGCACCCGCCCCCAGGTAAGGGGGCCCCAGGACGCCCATTGACCAGCAGGGGACAAAGAGTTCTGAATGGGCTGCTGTGTTCCCAGAAGTCCTCCAATCAGACCGAAGGGGGTTGGACTCAAGGTTTTGGATGGAAAGGGGAAAACGGGAAAAGCAAACCCCTCTTTAGTGGAGCCCCCTAAGTACTCTAACAGCAGCTCTGCTGAGGAGAGAGCCCCTCCCAGCCCGGGAGGCATGCCCTTGATCAGGTGGCGCTCCTCGGGCAATACCAGGGCCAGGCTGTGGGGCAGAGAGACAGGCTTATCCTAGCACCAAGGACACCCAGCAATCCTCACTCCATTTCTCAACTAGTTTCTGAACTGAAAAAGAGTGAGGCAGATGAAGAGCCTTTACTACTGGCTAAGTTGGTATTGAAGAAGGTGAGTTTCATCTGGAGGCAATGGGGTTCCTAGGACTGAATTCCAGTAGACAGACTTACCCTTCCAATCACAGGTCGCCTTGGACCAAAAGCTATTCCTATAATCCAATCCCTTGTCTATCCTCCTGCGATCACTACAGTCTGAGAAAGCAAGGAAATCTGATGAATTTTTCTATGAATGTGGTTGCTTTGTTTTGTTTTTAGATTCTACATATAAGTGAGATCACACAGTATTTGTCTTTCTCTTGCTTGACATTTTTAAAAATTTCCTGGTACATATTCCAGCTCTAAGTCCTTTGCAAATATATCCCCTGGTATGTAGCTTTTCATCTTTCTCAACAATGTCTTTTGATGAGAATAGTGTTTCAGTTTGATGAAATCCTAGTCGCCGACACATTTTTCTTTAATGCTTTTTGCTTTCCATGTCCTATCTGCTTACTTTCAGGTCATGAAGATATTGTCCTGTTTTCTACTCAAAACGTCATTTTTTTAGTATTTATATTTGGGTTTGTGATCTACTTCAATTTAAATTTTGTGTAGGGTATAAGGTATAGTTCAAAATGTTTTTTTTTTTCTATATGGATATTCAGTTGTTCCAGTTGTTGAACAAACTTTCCTTTTTCCATTGAATTTACTTGGCATCTTTGTTTGAAATCAACTGACTATGTAAGTGTAGGTCTACTTCTGGACTCTGTTCCACTGGTCTAGCCACTGATCCTTCGTCCATCCTTAGGTGCCGTTACTATCACTTCGTAAGTCTTGAAGTCGGAGTATAAATCTTCTAGATTTGTTCTTCTTTTCTAAGATTGGTTTTGGTCCTCTAGATCCCTTGGGACTTCCACATAAATCTTAGCATTAACTTCTCATTTTCTATTTTAAAAAAAGGAACAGCCTGCTGGTATTACCACTGAGTGTGCGTTGGCTCTAGAAATCAATAGGTGAGGAGTGACATCCCAGTCCTACTGAGTTGCTGCTCCGTGAACATGATACATCTCTCCATTTGTTTGGGCCTTCTTTAATTTCTCTCAGTCATGTTTCATAGTTTTTGACATAGATATTCTGCATGTCTTATTAAATCCATTTCTGAGTATTTTGTTTATTTTTGACACTGTTGAAGATGGATTGAACATTTTCCCAATTATTTGCTGCTAGTATATAGAAACACAATTGATTTTTATGCATTGATCTTGTGTCCTGAGACCTTGTTAACCTTAAGTTTTATTTCTAGTAGTTTGTTCATTTTGATGTTTTGGGACTTTCTACATAAACCATCATTTCTACATGAACCATAAACAATCTGTCTGCACGTAGAGAGTGTTCCACGCCTGCTTTTCCAATGTTTCTCTTTTCTTTCTTCTTCTTGTGTCCGTGCGCTCCTTAGGACCTCTGGTACAATGCTGAACAGAGGTGCTGGGGGCAGACATCCTTGCCTTGTTGTTGCGTTGGGAGTTCAGCTAATTTGACATTAGCTGTAGGTTTTTCACTGATGTCTTTCATTAAATCGATGAAGTTCCTTTCTATTCCCAGTTTTCTGGGAATTTTTATCCTTAATGGATGTTGCATTTGCTAATTGCTTTTCCTTTACCTTTCCCGGTGATCCTACTGGTTTTCTCCTTTATTCTGTTAATGTGATGGACGACATTGATTGCATTTCAAATGTTAAACTCACCTGTATTCCTGGAATGAACCCAACTTTGTCATTATGTTATTTCTTATGTATATTGCTGGATTCTATGTGTTAATATTTTGAAGCATTTTTGCATTTATCCATGAAGAATTTTAGCCTATAGTTTTCTTAACATAAGGGCTACATTTTATGAGTAAATAATATGGAAGTAACTGGGTCTGTGGGGAAGCACAGTGAAGTGGCTGTAGCTCTTTGGTAACTCTCAGCTTATACCAAAGGACAGTCAGTCTCTCTCTCTGAGACCTTGTTAACCTTAAGTTTTATTTCTAGTAGTTTGTTCATTTTGATGTTTTGGGACTTTCTACATAAACCATCATTTCTACATGAACCATAAACAATCTGTCTGCACGTAGAGAGTGTTCCACGCCTGCTTTTCCAATGTTTCTCTTTTCTTTCTTCTTCTTGTGTCCGTGCGCTCCTTAGGACCTCTGGTACAATGCTGAACAGAGGTGCTGGGGGCAGACATCCTTGCCTTGTTGTTGCGTTGGGAGTTCAGCTAATTTGACATTAGCTGTAGGTTTTTCACTGATGTCTTTCATTAAATCGATGAAGTTCCTTTCTATTCCCAGTTTTCTGGGAATTTTTATCCTTAATGGATGTTGCATTTGCTAATTGCTTTTCCTTTACCTTTCCCGGTGATCCTACTGGTTTTCTCCTTTATTCTGTTAATGTGATGGACGACATTGATTGCATTTCAAATGTTAAACTCACCTGTATTCCTGGAATGAACCCAACTTTGTCATTATGTTATTTCTTATGTATATTGCTGGATTCTATGTGTTAATATTTTGAAGCATTTTTGCATTTATCCATGAAGAATTTTAGCCTATAGTTTTCTTAACATAAGGGCTACATTTTATGAGTAAATAATATGGAAGTAACTGGGTCTGTGGGGAAGCACAGTGAAGTGGCTGTAGCTCTTTGGTAACTCTCAGCTTATACCAAAGGACAGTCAGTCTCTCTCTCTCTCTCTCTCTCTCTCTCTTAGAGAGAGAGAGAGAGAGAGTTTGTTTAAACATTGCTATAAAAACAGAGTCGGTGTATCTTAGGTAATTTCAGTGACTCAGTACCTCTGAACTACACAGCAGATTTGATAAACTGGGCATTAAAATGTCACCAAATTGGCAAAAAAAAAATTTAGCTATATATATTTAGACAGAAATCCATTTTCTTGCATTTAGATTTGTAAATTTCAAAATAAAGAAATTCAGCTTACTTGGATTGGAAGAGAAAGTGTTCCGGTCACCTCAGTAATCCTCAGGCAGAATCCTTATGCAAATCCTGACTGGCAGGTCCTTATTAATGACAAGTCTGGATATTTTTGTGTTATTTTTTTTCCCCAGTTCTTTGGTTTAATTTACATTTGAGGACCTCCTTTCACAGGCCACTGCCCACATTGCTATCTTAACTGGGAGAAAAAAAGATATTTATGTCTGGCTAAGAACTACCAGCAGGATGGAAACAAACAAATTGATGGGAAAGAGACAAGATAAGCATCTCACATTGTTTTCAGATGTGAAGACAGCCGGAAAGGTATGACACTAAAGAGATAAAAACACACATTTTTGACAAAGGTGACACAATGTCTTTGAAGAGGGCTGCCCCCTAAGACAAAAAGCATCCATGTCCTTACTGAAGATGGATAATTTTGAAACCAGAGATGTGGACAAAGACATGTGTACAAGGCTATGCTTTGTGAATATAATTATAACAGCAAATTTTCTAACAGTAGCAGAACTATTAAATTATTACAGAGCTATATTATAGGATGTAACACAACAACGGACAGTCATGTTCACGAAGCATATGCAGTATCACGGGAAACACCTGTGATGAAATGTAACCAAAAAATCAAGATATACATACATTCAAATACGGTGTGCTCAGTGAAAAGCAATTAATTAAAATCAATTAAAAGGGACAACCCTCAGACACTGGATACATGCCTAGATTAAATGCTAGAAGGAAACTGCTAAACTGGTCATGGGGGTTATCTCTGTGTGTTAGGACTATTACGTAGTTTTGCTTTTCTCTAATGGTTTATTGTAATTTTGGGTTCTTTTTTAAACCTATATTATTTTTCTGATAAGAAAAATACATAGAAAACATATTTGTTTTTAGACTTGATTTGGGAAGTATGTCACATGTCATATAAGATACAAGAGAAAAATTTTCCACTTTGCTTTAGAGACGTACTTGTGAAATAGCCAGGGATTTAAGATCAAGGGATGGCTGTGTTTCAGTACAGATGACTTACCTGGTCCCTTAGTTTTCCAGTGAGAGTTCCTGTGAGCAAGTTCAGTTTTTGAAGGTAGGTTCAGGCAGCCACACCCTGACACCTTGGCCACCCTCATTTCTGGCAGGTAGGGCTGCCCACCCCCTCACTCCCTGTCCTCTGACCACCGCAAGCTGACAGTTTCCAGTAGCTCTGCCCTGTTGGCGGTTTTGTAAGCAGGCTGCTGTGCTGGACCTGGGTCCCGGATGAACACTGAGTACTGTGCTGTGCGCGGCCAAGGAATGTACTGGACAACTTAGTCTGAAGCCAGTTAATACACATACTTGATCCTATAACTAGACACAGAGTGGTGAGGAGCACACAGGTATCAGGAGACCTGAATTTGTACCTGTGCTTGATGTTGGGCAAACCCCTCAGTGCCCAGGGCCTCACTCAGCTCATGGACGGGCGGGTAAATCAGATCCCATTTTCCATATGTCAGAATAGTGAATTTCAAGAAGTGTATGTGCATTCTCAATAATTCTAAATATTCTAAACAGAATAGCCAACATAATACTGAAAGAGAAGAACAAAATCAGAGAAATGACACCACTTGATTTCAAGATTTACTATAAAACTAAGTAACCAAGACAGTGTGGAACTGGTGAAAGGAAAGACAAATAAATCAATGGAATAGGGTAGAGAGCCCAGAAGTAGACCCACTGATACCCAAAGATATAGTCCACTGATCTTTGACATGGAGCAAAGATAACACAATGGAAAAGGAATCGTTTTTCCAATAAATGGTGTTGGGACAACACAACATTCACATGAATAAAAAATCCTAGCACACATCTCACACCCTTCACAAAGATTAACTCAAAATGGATCACAGACCTAAATGAAAAATGCAAAACTATAAAACTCCTAGAAGACGACATAGGAGAACATCTAGGTGACCTCGGGTTTAGCAATGATTTTTTAGATTCAATAACAAAAGCACAGTCCATGATAAATAATCAATAAGTTGGACTTCAGTAAAATTTAAAGCTCTGCTCTCCTGAGACACTGTTAAGAAAATGAAAAGACAAGCCTCACACTGGGAGAAAATATTTGCAAAACACATATCTGATAAAGGACTGTTATCCAAAATATACAAAGAAGAGCTCAATATACAAAGAAAAACTCAATAAGAAAATAAACAACCCAATTTAAAAATGGACAAAAGATGTGAATAGATATCTCACCAAAGAAGACATACAGACAGCAAATAAGCATATGAGAAGATGTTCAACATCACGTCTTTAGGAAACTGCAAACTGCAACAGTGAGATACCACGACACAACTATCAACGTGGTTGAGATCCAAAACACTGACACCACGAAGTGATGGAAAGGGTGTGGAGCAAGAGGAACGCTCATCCACTGCTGGCGGGAATGCAGCTGCGTACAGCGACACTGGAAATCAGTTTGGCAGCTTCTTAACAGAACTACACATGCTCTTACCTTATGATCCTGCAATCATGCTCCTTGGCGTTTGCCCAACGGACACAAAGACATGTCCATACAAAAACGTGAATGCAAATGCTTATAGCAGCTTTATTCAAAACTGCCAAAACTTGGAGGCCACCAAGATGTCTTCCAATAGATGGATGGAGAAACAAACTGGTACATTTAGACAGTGGAATATTATTCAGTGGTTTAAACCAGTGGTTTTATATATTGTTTTATTATAAATGACTACCAGTAAAAAATGTTTGAGAATGTACTCAGCAATTTATACAACAGATACATTTATTTACTTGTTTATCTATGAGGTATATATATTACCTGTACCAATATATTCTATATATTTCATAGATGTATTCAAAAAATAGAATTTTTAGCAGTGTAAGTAAAATAAAATATGTAATCTCTTAAAATAATTATATTCTACTATAAGTATTTTTGGTGAAAATATTGCCTTTTTACTTTTGAGAGTTGAAATATTCCTTTGAAAATTTTGAAAAGCTCTACTTGGAGGTCTAATTTTAAGTTGTGTGCTTTGATGTTAGGCTTTGGTGACTGTCAAGAGTAGAAAATGATCCCTGACAAATATTCACAGAAGCCCATAACTGGCTCTCCTTCCTCAAGCATGATACCCTATTTCAGTCCCAAACCCAGATTGTAAAAGTGGGCAATATATTGCCAACTTCTCTAATGAAGCTTTATTCTTGAAAAACTAAATGGAATTTCAGTTTTTTATTTTTAACAAATGGATCCAAAACCTGAAATGTTTCATTAAAAAAAGGCCTTTTTTAGGTGGGTAACTTGACGATCTTATGGTTGATGACATACTGACATAATTTTTAGCAACAAAATATATAACCGTAAAAACACTTCCAAACATCTATTTTAAAAAACTCTCTCAAAGTTTTGTAAAAATTCTACTACTTAGGATAATATAATCCTTGAACCTGCTTACCTGGGCAGGTGTAAATTGTCGTATGTCAAAATATGCTACAAGCAAACCCAAAAACGGAGGAAAGCCTCCTTCTGCTGCCTAGAACCCCCACTCCTGTCGTGGGGGACGCCTGGAGACCCGGTGGTCTGACAAGTGACAGACAGAGCAAAGCTACTGATTTCACTCTCTGTTTTAAATACACATAAAGATTTGTGTGTTAAAGCAAATTGAAATATATTCTATGACCTTCTTCCTCCCATTTGGAGATGGCTGGCTTAAATCAGAAGAGGTTCATCACCTCCAGGAAGTTCAGAATGATCCCAGTGGCCATGCGACATCACAAAGACTCAAGTTCTTTTCTTTTCAATGCTCTGCCACCTTCCTTCCGGTTTTATTTTTTGTCCCCAGTCTGTCCCCTCAGGTCAGCAAGATGGCAACTTCAAGCATCCCATCCTCATCCCATAATAATCACAGACTTCTGGGTGACAGGTTAACTCAGGTCTGTGCGAGGACCTCAGACCAAGTAAGGTCAGACGTCCTACAAAATCCTTCAGTGGGGGGTTGCTATTTCTCAAACATGAAATTACCTGTTTCTTCACTTTCTCCCCATATCATAGTTCCTGGCCATAAATATTTATAATTATAGCTGTATGGAGAGTAGGAAATTGTTTTGAATTACCTTAAAATATTTGGGGAGTGAAAGTTACCTTGATGTCTCTACAAAAGCCATGAGGAGCAGGACCTTTCAGTGCAGGCTGTGTCCTCCCTAATCATCCAAGTGAGGGTGGCCGCTGTCCACATACAGTTGGTGTCTCTACTGCACCAACTTAAATCAGGTTCAGGGGCCACAGAACACTTCAATCTTTCAGGGCTTCTATGCAGGCATGGCTCTGGAGCAGGCATGCGCAGTAAACACGTGCAGTTCCCTGGCACTCTCCTGGGAAGACCCCTGAGGCTCCCTGTGAGGGTTTCCCCATGAGAATGAGACCCTAGCCTGAGGAGGTTTAGAATGGGGAAGCTGGAGTGGGGTCTGAGCTCTTGTCTTGAGGGTATTAGAATAGTGGCAAGTCAGGAAGAGATGGTGCCAGGCCTGGACCACTGCCGTTACAGCTTCACTGGTTGCTAGAGGCATGGAGTGTGAGGACGCTCGGCCCACCCACAGATCCCAGTCCAGTCAGTCACGCCCAGGCGCCTCTGCCCAGAAAGGCAGTTTTGAGCCACCTCCACACTCTCCCCGTCACTGCTCGCGATGCACTATTGGGCATTAGTAAGGGGCCACCGGCTCACAGGATCACTCGTTGGTCAAGCCCTCGCAACTGCAGCACGCGCAGGAGCTGGTGTCATGCCAGCTCCAGTCCACTGCCTCCGGCTCAGACTGCAGAGGCCAGCTGAGGTGCAGAGCGTGGCATCTGCTTAACCCAGGCACAGCAGGCAGCTTTACTAGGTAACTTGAGCCTTCATAGATGGGGAGGATTAGAGATGAAATGAATCAGAGAAAGGAGGGTCCTAGAAGAATGCCCCAAACAGTGCTGGTGGTTTGAGACTCACTCTTACTGGTCAGCTTCTTGGAAGCCTCATCAACTCTGGAATAAACTGATAAAATTCACCTTGTGGTCATCTACAGTGAGGGCGATGACTTGGGTCACTTCCTGTGATGCCATCAACATCTTGACTTTTAAAAGTCCCCCTAGTACAGTTAACAGCATTCCTAGTTAGCAGCATTGATATTTTCTATTTTTTCCTGAAAATATCTTCTGATATTTTAAAAGTCACTCTTTTAAGAATGTTGTATTTTGCCAATATTATATGTGTTAATGAAGGGTGCTTCAACACGGTCCTTGGGAGAAGGGAAAATATCAGCAATGAAGCCACTAGGCATAGACTCAGAAAAGCAGGAAATCATCAGAAAGCATGGCTGAGAAATTCTCCATAAGCAAAGATAAAAACATGCATCATATCTCAAAGCTAATAACCCAGGAGGGTAACTGAAAGAACAGCTTCATGCAAACCTTGAGGAGTATAAAGTCGCAGTGGGGGTGTTGAATAGAGGGGGTTACAAGCAGAGCTGCAAATTCAAAGCATGCACATACACTTGGCCACACTAATAAGGGGTGGGGTGGAGGGCACTGTTAGTGAGCCAGTCTGATAAACCAAATAAATGGTGCTCTATGTTCGGGCTCCCAGGGGATCGCCTAGGACAGGCAGATGATTTCTACTACCAGGTAATTAAAAGTGAGAAGCAAGTGTGATGTGGCTGAGTTTATACCCAAGTAAACATGCCTTTGGATTGATTTAGAATAGCTCTTTAGCTTGAGAGCACATCAGAATCCCCTGGAGGATTTATTAACGCAGATCACCTGGCAGCCCAACCCCAGAGTTCCTGATTCAGTGGGTGTGGAATGGGGCCTGAGAATTCACATTTCTAACAAGTTCCTGGGAGACGTGATGCCTCTGGTCTGGGACCATTGGTTCAGAATGACTGATTTAGACGAATGGCAAGAAGACTAATAACAATGCTGTTCTTGACTTTACACCTCAGATTCCACAAAAGTGAGGGATTTTTCATTTTATGCATGTGTATCTGAATTAAAAAATCATATTGCAAAAAAAAGGTGAGATAGAATGCTTGTTCTAACTATAAGGAGATTATCTTTTTATGATTTAAAATGGAAGAAATTCAAAGTAAAAAAATAATGATGGGTAGAATTACATAAAAATGCAAAACCATAAAATAATGAAATTCCACAGAACCAGGACAAAAGAGATATAACAGAATAAGAAAATGTTTGCTATAAGTGTGGCTGCATATTTAAAGTTTAACATCTAACATATATTGAGTCATTCAAACCAGATTCCCAGTGGGGACAGAGTCTGGGATACACACAGGCAGTTCATACACCCGGAAAGGCAACATAAACAGCAAACCTCAAGAGTAATTAAAGAAATCCAATTATAAGAGGCTGCTTAACACATACCAGATAAACAAGTATATGGACAGGTGATAAGACTCAGTATCAGTGACTGGGGGTAAATGCTGCTGGTGAATGTGTAAACTGCTTGGTTTTTTTAAGAGCCATGAAAATGATCATACTAGGAAAACATGTCCCATATATGTAAATTCATAAGAACAAATGTATAATTATAAAAATATTTATAGCAGAGTTATTTATAATAGCTAAAGAATGCAATGTTCAAAATACTCTTATCATAGGGAAATGGTAAAACAAATAATGTCATATTAACTAATATTCATTCATTAGCAGTGAAAACTCACGAAGACTGTGCACAAAGGGAGGCATATGCTATGTTGGAATGTGAAGGGGAAAAGCCCTGTTTACAGCCAGGAGGCCTGAAATTAAGTGACCTTCAGCTGAGGATTCAGAATCTGTAAACACTGGCTTTTCAAATGTTTTGACCACTATCAAAATGTAAGAATTGTACATTCTGAGCCACTATAAATACCAAACACACACAGCCTCACCCTTACTACTGGTAACACACAGTGGTCTATTCCATTCTTGTCTCCATGTCATTCCTTTTCACTCCATTTTGAGGTGCTGCTCAACAAACTGATATAAAACCTACTAATATATCACAGGGAGCCGTAGGTGGCAGAACTACAGGACGCACGCGCTTGTGAGACCTACTGGCACAGGGCGAGAGGTCAGGAGGAAGCGTGGTTTCTGACGCAGCTGCCCGTCTATCTTGTTTCCCCCAGGGCTTTCACAGCCATCTAGAAACCTGCTTAGGCTATTTCTTCCTTCTCCCCTCCCATAGCTCAAAACCCACAAACAATATGACTTACGTGTAGAAACGCATCTGTTTCTGCTGGTTTGATGTGGTAGATAAGGACCGGGCTGTGCATCCGGCCTCTCACCTGGGAGGAGCCTGCGGTGGTCTGGCCCAGCCCAGAGCCCTGGTAGCGCCGAACGTTGGTCTGTGCATCTGCTATGACTTAGGACTCCCCAAACAGTGGCTCTCAAATTTCAACATTCTTAAGAATCCAGGTATTTGTTGAAGTTGCAAACGCATGTGTCCCATCACTGAAGAGTCTGATTCAGGGACGTGGCAGGGTCCCAGAAACCGCATTTTAAATAAACACCCAGCTGCTCTCTCCAAATTGGGAGAAAATGCTGCTGCAGCCCCTTTGCCAAGGCCGATGGGATTCAGGTGTGGGTGGATTTGGCCGTTGCTTTCTGTCAGGCATGTCCAACGAACTTTAGTCTTCTCACCTGTAAAACAGGGAATACACCCTATCCGTAGGCCTTCCTCAGCTCTACTCTTGTGTCTATAAATAGTTACACGAAAGAACAAAGAATTCTCTGTACATTGTTTCCCATTTATAGTGTTAAAAAAACTATAAATATGGCTAAAGGCTAGAAGAGATCAAAGAGATATATGCAACTACATTATTGTGAAACTGTAGGTATGCTTTAAAAAATAAGTGATTGAAATAGTAAATAATTTTGAGAGAAATGACAATCACCAGGCACAGGGGCACCAAGGGGTGAGAGCTAGGAAGAGACCTTTGAATCTGGTGGCATGATCATGACATCATCGGAGACATTAGAGGGGGCGCCTCAGTACCGTCCTGGCCATGAACATCATTCTGGGCGAAAGGACATGCGGGTGGATGGTGAAGGGAAGTGAGAAGAAGCGGGGACAGTAGCTCTCAAGGGAAGGGCGGAGTTGAGACAAGACACCTCTCAAGGCAGCACAGCCGTTTGTAGAGGGACCCAAGTCCCAGGACACTGAAATGCAAAGCCCATTGTAAGGATACAGGCTTAGCAAGAAGGCACGTGTTCTCGTGGAGGAGGAAGAGAGGATTTCCTACTGTTCCCCCAAGCTGGGGGCGTCACTCAGCCTCTGAACAGGGCCTGTCTCACGCCCTCAGATGCTTCCAATCAAGCCCCCCTGGGAGGAGAAACTCTCCAGCGAACAAGCCAGGTCTGGTGTCTGGAGCGGGGAGGGTCCAGAGCTGCCATCCGAACAAGGCCAGTGTGCAGAAGAGCGCATCCCTCCTCGCACGTCATGCCCAGGGCTACGGCCCTGTCACATGTGGGCTCAGTTTCGAATTTTCAGGCAATTTCAGGCAATGTCATACCTGATTTCATTTCACCGTTACACCTCAGCAGGGCCGTAGGGGGACAGGATGGGTGTCACATTCGTACTTTCCCTCCTTCATCCTCTCTCAACCCCAAATCCTTACCGAGATTCCTGACGAAGGGGCCTATTCACAAAGGCCACCAGCCAGACAGGGAAAGAGGACTAGTCATTACCGTTGGCGGGACAAGGACCCAGTGTTCTATCGCCGAGAAAGCCTGAAGCGGGAGCGACCAGCCCAAGCCAGACTGGGGGCTCCTCTCTCCAGACTCATCCGCATTTAAGAACGGCGCCTCCGAGGGCACCCGGGCAGGTGCGCCCGTCACCGTAAGGAGTCCTGGGGGCGGGGGACGTTTGGTGGCGCCGAGACAGGGCCTGCCGCGCCCACTTCGTGCCGGGAAAGGAAGCAGATGCGGGTGTGAGCACCGACCTACAGCATTCCCACACGTAAGCCCACCCTCCGGTGTAGCTCAGTGAGTGACAGGCGTCTGGCCAATCAGCTGGTAGCCCCTCCTCCTCTTGGGAGGAGCTAGTAAGGAGGAAGACGAGTCCAGGGCTGGGGGGGGGGGGGGG